GGGATTGGTTTAGGCTGGATTTCTAGAAGGATCTAACAGCTGCTCTAATGCTGTTGCATGAAGTAAAAAGTATTTTACCTTCTACCTTACAGATTTTTACTTTTTATATTGTTTACTGTTTAAATAGAATTCTTGGACTTGAAAGTAGCAGCATTCAGGTGTTTGGTGACCAAACACATGATGTACTAGCCAACCGTGCATGATCCCAACCTGAAAACTGAATGGCTTTACTTCCATTCATTTCAACAGTAACATGAATTAAAAATGTGTAAATCTCAAACTCTCTTAATAATCCATGGAAGAATAATTGTGAACTGTCCAAAACATACACTCAATTATTTTAAACAAACAAAAATCAATGGTTTTTATTTTTATAAAATGCACATTCAGGCTTAAAGAAGCTAGGGGGCTCTTTGATCTAGCAGAGGTCCAGTCGCTTGAAGATGAACTTCACATTTTTGTAACTGAGAATAAAGCACAGGTTTTTAACTTTGAGGACAGATGTGGTAAATTAAAAAAAAAAGGTGATAAATTCTTCATTACTTATGAGGTTTTTAAATTTTAAATTGAGGTATCACTGTAAAAGATATATTGTAGCCCAAATACAGTTTGATTTTGTACAATAATTAGTTGGTGATGTTTTATAACTTATATGTATAGATTATCACAACAGTCTTTTCTGACTTAAAATATATGTATTTTAAAAACAGCTATAAAGTATAAGAATATACTAGCTACAGTGACATTACTGAAGGAAGTGGTAGTAGAAGAGTAACTCAGGTGTATTGCTATAAAACTGATGAAAAAAGTGAGTCTTGCTCCAGATTCATGTTAAAGACTCCTATCTGACAAACTATTTGTAAATAAGTGCATGATTATTCAACTGGGGAGTCGAAAGCAGCTAGGTACAATACTAGCTATCTCACTCCTTTCTGCTTTCAGCTAGAAAACTAATGTGCCTTAGCCATGCAAGCCTGATAGTCATCTAGGTTTAGGCAGACCTTTACCTTTTTTTTTTCATTTTCTTACGTTCAGTAAAGTGATTTCAGTATTTTCAGACAGAAGAAAGAAAAAGCAAGCAGAAAGCCTGTTCCAAAATCCTTTGAGAGCTTTTCCACTGACTTCAGTGGTACTGCATGTATTATGTATGCTTCTTTGTTAGTGGTTGGTTCTAGTTTAGAGCGAGTTTCAAATTTACTGGAAATGAGTGAGCATTAAAAGATGCTTCTATTGGCTCCAAGGTTAAATATAATGTGCTGAAGAAAATGTCACAGAATAGACTGGGGACTGAAAAGATCATTACGTGGGAAGATTATTTTTTTAAATAATCTTATGCCAAAATTGGTGACAATACAAAATAAAAATATTCTTCTAAAACTTGGATATAATTTGCTGGCCTTCAAGATATTCAACTTGCAAAAGAAACCCAAGGTAGATTCTAAAAGAAACTCATGATAGGCTTGATCCAAATGCTCTTCGCAGCAAGGGGTAGGTTGGTTGGACCAATAGGAAGGTAGAAAGTGGATGGGACAGTATAAAGTGCAATTTCTGGAGTGGGGAGGGGAGACTTATAGGCATGAACTAGCATTTGTGAGACCCAGCTCAGGTTTGGGCAGCTTAATTTAAGCTGCATAAACTTGAGTTGGGAGTGGGATGTACAAGTGCTTGCCATCTGCTAGGAGGAGGTGCAGGCCGTTGGAGGCTAGTAATTTGGAGGTGAGGATGTGGCAAGTCCAGGGTAAGGTTGAAAAGTCTGTGGGGGGAATTTAGCAGGTCTGGGGCAGGGTTGGTGAGTTTTGGGGGAGGGGAGGGAGGTTGGAGTTTTGGGGCAGGGGAGGGAGGTTGGAGGTTGGTGTGTTTATGGGATTGGGGAAGGAGGTTGGCAGGTCTGCTGGGATGGCTGGCCATTACAAAGGTGGGCAGAGTAAGGTTAAGGGTGTCCAGTTAGGGTGGTAAAAATATCACAGCCCCAAGACTGTGGAGAGTGGCAGGGGTTTCCCCAACCATGGGGCTGTTTTGTGAATGCATGCAAATATTCACTATGCTGTGTTACCTCTTGCTGATCTAAAGCTAGTATTCATGCCAGATGAGAACTAACTTTTGTTTGGGCATGCCATTGTCAGGTTGACCTAAACCCTATGAATGCTTGCACACCAAAGCACTTAGATTGTTCTAACCTGCACCTGCTGTGGCCAATTCTTGTGCTTCTAAGTGTGCATAGATTTTCCTTAGGGAGGAAAAGCAGTGTCTTGCCTCTTATTGGCCAGGCACAAGTGGAGAGGATAATTCTTATTGGAATTTCTGCTCTGCTTTGTAGCATATTTATATAAACTCATGTTCTCACAATGCTGTGGATCATATGGATCTCCATTTAGGGTTTTAATATAGATCTCCCCCCCTTCCACACACACATTTTGGGCTAAATGACTGGTAGCTAAGGATTATTATTTGCCTTCCTCTCATCATTATGAAAACATAGTTTTATTTTTAAAAAGCTAAACAATAAGAAATTCATAAAATTAGAGAGTTTCCTTTGGGGGACAGTGCAAGTCAAAGAGGGAATCAGAAGTCTTTGCAGACTAATATTCTCCCTTGGTAATTTCTATTCCCCACAAGAGTTGCCGAGGGAATAAGAAGGACAGAGTTCGAGAATTAGGTTGCAGAGGGTCTACTGAGAGAATAACTGATTGTATGTTGGAAGCCTTGTAATCCCACAGGACACACTGGTATATGAGAGGCATGAATAGTGTCTTTTCCCTGTGGCTAAATTAGTGAAGTTGCAGCCTAACACATCATAATAAAATACACTGAAATCAATGGAAAGACATACATTGACATCAAACACACAGAGCCTGCCTCAAAGCTCACTAAAGTTCACAAACAGAACAGGTCTCCTAGGCCTCTACTTTCTTGGGTTGTTTTTTCTTTTTAAGCATGCTGCAGAACTTGTTACAGGTTAGCACCCAAGCACCACCTAAGTTCTTCATTGGCAACAATTATGAGCTTTATAAATATCCTGTCCGAAGTTAGCAGGCAACCTGAATTTTATTATACTTTTGTTTCTAACTGCAATTTAAAATAAATCAAGATACATATTGTTCTCTAAAATGAAGGCCTTCTTAACTTTTTAGCTTATTTTTAGTTTCAAGAATCAATGGCAGCCCAAAGGGAAAAAGCAATAGCAATCTGTACAAATCTTTATGACATAATTTGCCTGCTTTTGGCATGGTATAGATGCATTACATGACACCAGAGAGATAAGTTCTCAGACGATGTCCCTTAATTCTTGGCAATCCTCCTTTTCCTGGTATAAAGCTGCAGACAGTATGTCTGCCCTTCTGTATACTTATTCCTCACTGACTCATTAGGTCATGCAATACGCATCCACTAGGCAACATGAATGACTCTGTTGTACAGCCAGTGTACTTAAGAAGTTAAAGAAATCAGTCACTTTTTATTATTATTATTAAAACAAATCAATTTACTTTCATTTTAAAGCCCTATTGGCCCAGAAACAACCATTACTATAGCCTATCATTTGCCAAAGGCATATCAAAAATATCATTTAAAATTCTAATGGACGCTGAATACTTTGGCAGAGGACCAGGAATCTCTAAACAACCTACTTACTCTCTTACAATAGCCACAGATTTTGAAGGAAATCTATTAAATATACAATTACTTTCGAATACCGTTAAAACTCTGACTTAAACCCTTAGAAGCATTACATTTTGAACTTAAAGATGCATAGCTGAAAGAGGCCTCAGAACATATGACCATTATCAGAGTACCCGAGATACCTCTTCATGGCACAGGACCCCATTTTCTTAGATGCCGTATTAACTCAGAGCAAGAAGATGGTCTTTGTCTGAGACCTCAATCTGTCACACTTCCTTCTTTCTGTTACAGCTGTTACATTTCAAGTCCAAGACCAACAATTTTTGCAGCACTTCAGTATTACCGTCTCACTGATTTCTGTTAGAAAACTGTTTCTTAGCAGAGAGGTCAGGGAATAAAGAACCATCTGCTTTATTCTTTATTATATCAGTGAAAATATGTATTCATAGAGTCTCTTAATCTCAAGGGCCTCAGTTTCCCCACCAATAAAAAGAGGATAATGAAACTTGCTACTCTTTTAAGTCCTATCAGAGTAACGTATGAAAAACACTCTATATAAATGTTCATTATTGTAAGTGGCATCATAGGCTTTCCAAAAAAGCTGGGAGTTTCTGAGGTGGATTTTTTTTTTCCAGGCTCTATTTCTATCTATCCTCCTCAACTGATATTAAGGACGTAATTGAGGAGAGATTGTTCCCAAAGTACAAAAACACCTTACCTATCATTTCCTCTGTCTCTTTCCATCTGCTTTCCTCTAACTTCTCTATTCCTTTCTGTCAGCTTTTTACTTACTTTTTTTCCCTTTTATTTACTACCATCTTTTTCTTCCCTTTAATCTTTTTCTCCTTGTCACTATCTTTTTCTTTGCAATAAAGGAGGCCAAAATTAGGACCTATGTATTCAGATAAGAATGAAATAAAATCCAGTAAAAGCTATAGTGAAAACCACCTCTGTGACAGTGTTGGTTTAAAGAACGCACCAGCAAAATTCCCTAGGATTTTATTGCCAGGTATTAATAAGGGAGTTCTGCCAGAAGAACTACTAAATCATCACATGCTTCACATAAGGCAGAATATGTTTGGAGTTTAATTTGATACAAAGCCATTGTCATGCTGTTCAGTTAGTAAGTAGGCCTCAGCTCCACCAAAGGGCAGTTTAAAAATGATGCCCCTTATCAGAATAGGCTGGGGCCAGTACAATCTGATAGACCTGATAAAATTCTGGTACTATCAAGAAGACACATTTTTCTCCTCGGCATCAGGAACCTCAGGCCTTGTGTAACATATGGACTCAGTGATTCAGAGGAATGGAAAGGGACAGACTATTTACCTAGGGCAATAATCAAAGGAAGCAGATAATATATCTCTCTGGAACTCACTCACCTTTTCACTCTGCTCCAGAAACCTGTTGTGCTGGACAAAGAAAAACAGCTAGCATGAACATCAGAAAAGAAGAAGAGACATTGTGTTTTTCTGTTAAAAAGGAAACAATATTCCTCTCACCCCCTGCCACCTCTATTTAATAAACTTTGCTACAGCTCCTTTGTAGCCATGCACTTATCCTGTCACTACACAGCTAATGGGAGGTGGAAATGACAACTTCAGCACCCGGGATAGAAGTGCTCTTGAGTTATGGGGGGGGGGGGGTGTGGAGAGATGGACACCCAAGAGTAGCAGACTGAGAGTGTGCATTGTGGGTTTTTCCTGGTGTCTCCCCTAAATCAGAGCCTGGGATTGGTGCCCCACATGCCTCACCTGTTATGCTGTTGTACCTCTAATCCCCGTTTTTGCCCAAGGGGCCATGAGTGTTTGTTTCCTGGAGTTTTGTTAGCTGTAGTTACTAGGCCTGTGTGAAGCGGCTAGTATTCGCTTTGGATTCGGCTGATTCGGGGGACAGTAATTCAATTCGCTGTTGCCAAATCTCTGAATCTCCAAATCAACCAGGCCCATCTCCCCCAGCCTGGCAATGGTTCCCCTGCCCACCCCAGCTCCTGGCATTTGTTAAAAAAAAAAAAGGCCTGACTCAGCGGGTGCTGCCAGGTGGAGGAATGATGCCCACTGCATGGGAGGCTCTGCACGAGCCCTGCGACAACCCCTGTTGCCCCAGTCCCCGCCTCATGGCTGTCCCACCCGCCACGGCTCCAGCCCTTTAAGAACAAAAGCCAAACCAAAAACCCCTGGACTCACCATTCCTATCAGCAGGGGGTGGGGGGTGATCCCCACTGCCCCATGCCATGTTGGGGGCTCTTCCATGAGCCCCCAAAACACTGAGGCTGCTGGAGGGTCACTGAGTCCCAGGACTTTTCTCTGTTTTTTTTTCCTAAAGGGCTGGAACCATGTCAGGTGGGGCAGCCATGGGGATGCTGGGGGAGTGGGGGGGTCAGGGGTTCATGCAGAGTCTGCCACAGAACATGAGGCAGTAGGGAATCGCTTCCCCTCACCCAGCAGCACCTGGTGAGCACTGAGGCTTTTCTTCAATTGCTGGGAGCTGGGGCAAGCAGGGCAAGTGGGAGGACTGGGCAGAGGTCAGGGGGGCTGGGAGCTGGCAGGGGTCCCCCCATGGTCCCCTCCTGCCTCCCCCAGCCCCTAGTACTTACCAGCTCGGAGTCAGCTGCAGTTCCCTGCTGCAGCTGCCAGGGACTGCCCGAATCAAAGCTCTCTAAATCTTTTCCAAAGATTCAGAGAACTTTGAATTGATTCAGACCTTTTAATTGGCCCCCTGATTCTATTTGGATTCAAAGATTCAGCCACCGAATCAGGCCAAATCTCCTTCGAACCAAATCACCACCTGAAGCATCGCACAGCCCTAGTAGTTACTAAAGGCTATGGTACAGGTTACCTGTATGACATCAGAAATCTGTGGAATGCTGTGTTGTCATAACATTATGCCACTTTTAGCAATCTCCACTGAAGACTTAGGTTGTTTCAGATCTGCATGACTGTGATTTGCTACTAGAGGGCTGGTGACCAGGGGCATGGGCAGGAGCCAGGACAGTATTTCTCCCCTGTCTGGGGAGAGGAAGGGGAGGGTGGAACACAGCTGGGAGGCAGAGAAAGCAGCATGGGGTCTTCCCTCACTTCACATCTCACAGGAGCCCAGCCAGAGTGGAGGAAAGGGGGGGGGACCGTCCCAGGCGCTGAAGCAAAGGGGCACCAAGAGGTGCTGCCCAGCTGGGGTGGGACATGAGACGAAGTCTTGAGCAGCTTATTGGGGGGGGAGGGGGGACAGTGGCTCCCACTACTGTGTGCACTCCTGGGCAAGCATGGTGGGGGTGTGCCCCCCAGATATGTGCATGGGGCAAGGGCAGGCTGCTCCTGCGGGCTTTGCCCTGGGTACCAAACTTTGTTGCTATAGTACTGGTAGCAGGGGAGAAATGTTGCAAGACTGTTTGAAATGAGACAGGGAGAATAAAGAGAAAGAAGTGAAAAAAGTATTTTTTAAAAACTCAAGGACTAAAATTTTGCATGTGTGTCAGTGAATGGTGACTGGGATTCAGGGGGCAGTGGGGTTAGGAGCATCAGGGGTTGTGCTGGCTGGGAGTGGGGAGCTGTCCTGGCCCAGGTGGCAAGACCCTGGGACTGGAAAAGCATGCTTCCTCCCACTCCAGGGTCCTGAAGCTGTTAAGCTGCTCTCTGAGCAGCTGCATCAGTTTCAGTCTGAGCACAAAGCCTCAGTGATGCTGCTTCTCTGGGGCTCTGTGCTCAAGCTGAGTCTGACAAAGCCACTCTGTGCTTAGAGCAGACACAGGAGCCCAGCCAGAGTCAGCGCAAAGTCCTTGAGAAGGAGCTTCCCCAAAGCCCCATGCATGAGCTGAAATTGATCCTCCTGTAGCCAGACCATGCAGCTGTGGGGGAGCAGGCTTCCCTGGCTCCATAGACTCTCTAATTAACCTCAGAACAGTTGATCTCAGCAGAGGGTAGGATGATTGATCACAGCAGGGGGAAGGGGAGAACCACTAGAGTTCTGAAGGGTAGAAAGGGGTAGAGTGGCTGGGAGTAGTGCAGCTTGGGATGCTGGAGGAAGGAAAGTAAAGCATTTTACCTACCCTGACCATTCAAGCAAACAATACCCTGGAATGGCATAGGTAACACATTTCCAAGATAGGCTGCTTAAAAGTATCTTGATCCTTAAAATGTTTAGAGGGTACTTAGAGTGGTTAAACATCCCTTAACTAATGGCTGCTCTAATTTTAAATGCCTCTGATTTTTTTAAGGTAACTTGCACCAAGGCCCACAGAGAGACAAGATACAGAGTTAAAAAACAAGTAAACAAAAGAAAAAAAGCACTGTATGCTCAAACGGAAAGGTATTTGTATGTGGGCATGGACAATGGGGGATGCAAAACAATACACTTATTATGGCAGAACCGTTGCTACTTCATAAATTCAGCTGGATGGAGACAATGAAAACTAAGTGTAATGTATTTTCTCTGTGTTTGCAGGAGTCTGTTGTGATACCTTTCATACTTGCATTACCAATTACCCATGCCTTATAGTAACAAGTGGGGTATCCTGTTGTGTGATAAAAGTTTATACCTTTGTTACAATAATGCAGTTGATAAGCCAAGAAATAAGTATCGGCCTCTTACCAGAACTTCTGTCACAGTACCATTCCACCAGACAATAACATTGCTGTGAGAATATTGAAAGAAAAAAGCAATGTTACCCTTTGGTTGAATTCCAGATTTGAATTGTGTTGATATGCATCCTTTTGTTGAGTCAAGAACTATGTTTATAAGTAGGGCTGTGCAAAGCTTTGACTTAATATTCGAGTCGACAAATATTCGACATATTCGACCTTGAAAAAAGTGAAAGTCGAGTCAAATAGCAGCTGGTTGAATAGCTGTTGAATATTAACAACGTGAGTCAAATATTCGACAAGGGTCAAATATTCGACTTGCCTATACTGGATTCCCGGCGGTGGGGGGAAGGAAAGTAAGGGGAGGGAGGGGGAGAGGGGGAAGGAGTGTTTTCATGACTGAAGTGTGGCTGACCAGTGACCTGTCAGCATTCTATACACTCAAACAGAAAGGGATTTGTATGTGGGCAAGGACAATGGGGATGCAAAACAATAGGTCCCTTCCAATCCCAGTGCTCTGGGGAGGGCCAGAGAAAATGCATAAAAGGCAGCAGTTTTTCAGCTCCCCTGGTTTCTGCCTTGGGGTCAGTTTCTGAGCTGCTGGTGTTCTCCAGCACCTCTGTGTCAGACCACGACATCTGGAAGCCCTGATCTTCAACAGATTCCCTGCTTGCAATGTTAGCAACAGGGATTTCTGAGAACTTGGTGCTTTTATTTTATAACTACTTTTCATATTAGTTTATGCTTATATTGGATAGGGTTAGTAGTAACCTAGGATCTATTCTATATATAGGAATTTAGTTTATATATATTATATATATTTTTATACATCGTTTATTCTTTCCACCACACCAACGCTTCTCAGTATATTATCTACACACACACAAACACA